AACCCGGAGAAGACACAGGTTATCATCAACATGGAGCCGCCCCGCAACGTCAAGGAAGTAAAGCGACTGACGGGGCGCCTAGCGGCCCTAAACCGGTTCCTCTCCAGGTCAGCCGAGAGGGCACTCCCCTTCTTTCAGATCATGCGTAAAGCCAACAGCTTCAAGTGGACGACGGAGTGCCAGGAAGCGTTCGAAGAGCTGAAGCGGTACCTATCGTCCCCGCCTGTGCTCTCCAAGCCCAAAGCCGGCGAAACCCTCTTCTTGTACTTAGGGGTGAGCACGTCGGCCATCAGCTCCGTGCTCATCCGTGAGGACGAAGGGGTGCAAAAGGCCATCTTCTACATCAGCAAGACACTCAGGGAGGCCGAGCTCAGGTACTCCCCCATTGAGAAGACGGTACTGGCCATCGTCCATACGGTGAAGAAGCTTGGACACTACTTCCAGGCCCACGCCGTCCATGTACTGACCCAGCAGCCTCTCGGTGCACTCATGAGGAGCCCCACCAGCTCCTCTAGGATGGTGAAATGGGCAATTTTCCTCAGCCAATTTCAAATTGAGATCAAGCCAAGGCCATCTATCAAAGGGCAAGCCTTGGCCGACTTCGTCACTGAATGCACAACAAGGGAGACGGCCGTCGCCAACCCCGGGCCGGAGCCGGATGATACATGGATCCTATTCACTGACGGCTCGTCGGCCGCGAATTCATGCGGTGGCGGCGGCGTCCTCATATCCCTTGAAGGATTCAGAGCTTACTATGCCATCCGCTTCAATTTCAGGGTATCCAACAATGAAGCCGAGTATGAGGCCCTCCTCAGCGGTCTCAGACTCGCCGCCGGCCTCAAGGCCAAACACCTCAAAATCAAGTGCGACTCCAAACTGGTAGTGGGCCAGGTGGAGGGATCGTACGAGGCAAAGGAAGGCCGGATGAAGCAGTACAAACAAGCAGCGGAGGAGCTGCTGAAGGCGTTCAAAACCCACGAGATCACACAGATCCCAAGGGCCGAGAACGCTGAGGCCGACATCCTCTCCAAGCTCAGCACGGACACCCCGGACCACATCTCCCAGCTGGCCAAGATCGAGGAGTTGAGCATGTCCAGTATCCATGCCAGCCCCGTCTTGTGCGTCCAACAGCGACCAGAGGACTGGATCTCCGACATCGTCACCTTCATCACAACAGGGGAGCTGCCCCCGGACGAGGAGAGGGCCAAACTTGCCAAACTCAGGGCCCCAAGCTACACCATCGAAGATGGCAAACTCTACAAACGATCCTACAATGGCACTCTCCTCCGATGCCTCCACCAGGATGAGGCCGACATAGCCATGGAAGAAGTTCATTGTGGCGTCTGCTCCTCGCACCAGGGCCCTTTCAGCATGTCCCGACGTCTCGTCGTCCAGAGCTTCTTCTGGCCGACGATGGCACGAGACTGCGCTGACCTGGCCAGGAAGTGTACCACATGCCAGGTACTCCAGAAGGCCTCTGGTCGGCCGGCCGTCAACTACGCCCCCGTCAGCACTGCAATTCCATTCTCTAGATGGGGGATTGACCTGGTCGGCCCCCTGCCCAGAGCCGCCGGGAACAACCGCTACATCATCGTCGCCGTCGACTACTTCGCCAAGTGGGTCGAGGCGGAACCCCTGGCCAGCATCACGGGGCCAGATGCCAAAAATTTGTTTACAAGAACATCATCACACGCTTCGGCGTCCCCCAGGAGATTATATCAGACAACGGCACCCAATTCGAGGCATCCCCTTTCCAGGAGCTCCTCAGGGAGTTTGGGGTGAAGCATCGCTTCTCCTCCGTTGCCTACCCTCAGGGCAACGGGCAGGTCGAGAACGCCAACAGAACAATCATGGAGGGGCTGAAGAAGAAACTCCAGGCCGCAGGAGGTAGTTGGGTCGACGAGCTCCCCAACATCCTGTGGTGCTACAGAACCACGCCGAGGAGGGCGACAGGTGAAACGCCTTTCGCCCTATGCTACGGCTTTGAGGCAAAGGCGCCCACGGAAGTTGCCATCCCCAGCCGACGGGTGGAACAATAGGAGCCTGACGCCAGCGAAGAAAACATGAAGATTGACCTGCACCTGGTCGATGAGAGGCGGGAGCAAGCTTACGTCCGAGCAGAGAACTACCGGCGTCAAGTAAAATCATACTACGACGCCAAGGTACGTTCCCGGCAATTTCAGGTAGGGGGCTACGTCCTCCGCTGAAGGGAAGCAAGCCTGTAATACCCGAGATTAATTTAAGAGGATTAATAGTACTACTCATACCAACAAGGTGCATCTCCTTTTAAGGGAGCTCATTAGCCAAGAACTCCAAAGTTAAGCGTGCTTGCACGGGAGTAGTCTTGGGATGGGTGACCCCCTGGGAAGTTTCTTAGGGCGCGCATGAGTGAAGACAAAAGTGCGCGGAAAAGGCTAGTGGCGGTTTGTGAGGACAGTACTAGAGGTCCGAAGAGAGGTCAGAAGTAACTACCTCGGGGCCTACGGGGCCGGGGTGTTACAAAATGGTATCAGAGCAACCCTGCGACAGTGTGTTGACCCGTTAGATATCGGGCAGGCACTTAGCGGGGCAAGATTCTGGGGTTTGATTGAGAGTGTTAAGGGCGCAACGAGGACGTTGCGATCCTAAGTGGGGGTGATTGTAATACCCGAGATTAATTTAAGAGGATTAATAGTACTACTCATACCAACAAGGTGCATCTCCTTTTAAGGGAGCTCATTAGCCAAGAACTCCAAAGTTAAGCGTGCTTGCACGGGAGTAGTCTTGGGATGGGTGACCCCCTGGGAAGTTTCTCAGGGCGCGCATGAGTGAGGACAAAGTGCGCGGAAAAGGCTAGTGGCGGTTTGTGAGGACAGTACTAGAGGTCCGAAGAGAGTTTGGAGTAACTACCTTGGGTCCTGCGGGGCCGGGGTGTTACAAAGCCAGCCTACAGAGGGCGGCAAGCTAGCATTGAAGTACGAAGGGCCCTACATCGTCAGTGCCGTGGTCAAACCCGGCACCTACAAGCTTAAACGCCCGAATGGGTCCAATGTACCACGAACGTGGAATGTACACCATCTGGTGAAGTTTTATCAGTAATCCGAAGGAGGTGTAGACGGCGAAGCCCTCACCCCTTAACGGGTTACTGAGTGAACGCCACCCTCGGCCTCGAGCCACTTATGAATAAAATCATGTTCCTCTTGATTTTTCTCTGGAATTTAAAGTAAAAACATTAGCAGGTGCCCTCATCGGCCACCTTAGAGCGAAAGGCTCAGGCGTGGACGACGGGGCCCCTGAACAAAACAAAAGTAAAAACGCAAACAACAAATGTAACCATGAAGCATGGCCACATCGTCCATGTATCACACTGCGCCTCAACAAAACAAAAGGAAAAACGCAAACAACAAATGTAACCATGAAGCATGGCCACATCGTCCATGTATCACACTGCGCCTCGTCGGCCAAAGGAACATAACGTCATCAGCAACGGCCATCTGGCCACCTAAGGCAAGGACACTCATCGTCCTCCGCCACAGTCAATCATAATGGGCTCTTCGGCCAAGAACACGAAAGCCAATCAATGACGGCCAAAAGGAGTGCGCAAACACCCTCATCGGCCACTCAAAGGAAAGGACGACATCGTCCTCGAAGCAAGGATCAACCTCAACGGCCTCATCGGCCCAAAGGTAAACTTCAACCATCAACGCCCAAGAAGGGGAAAACGCGCCTTCAACGGCCACCATTGAAGCAGGACACTCATCGTCCCCAAACGAACACATCAAGTAAACAACGGCCTCCCCGTCCACAACAAGGAGCAGGTAACAGCCAAGCACAGGATCACCAAAATGGAAACAGCGCCAACGCCGCAACAGCTAACGGCCTGGGAATGCCCGCATCGGCCAAAAGCACCAAAGCACGGGAATCTACTCTCCTTCACTTCGTCTACGTCTCAGCTTAGAGAGTGGGGGACTCCTGATGGAGTATATGGGTTTGAGCCCCCGGACCCACATACTCAGAAGAACAGAAAGCACAAAACACAGAGTGGCCCCCTCGTCGGCCAAGGGACCCTCGTCGGCCGAAAAGGTGCCAACCCAGATTATGGTCCTGAGCCCAAGGAACCCGGGTGCCCTCGTCGGCCGTGCCCTCGTCGGCCGTGCCCTCGTCGGCCACGAAGACTCCACAGAACCGGATTTTATACTTACTTATTTGTACAGCCCATTAGTGGCTTTGTATTCGGCCCAGTAGCGGTCCAGTTGTAGATGGGCCTCCCAAGCCCAAGGCTTGGGAGCCCAGCCCGTATTTTCTCTATAAATACTCCCCTTGGGAGTAGTTATAGGGGTGACAAATTCATTCTATTGAAGCATATATTGCACTTTTCTCTCTAGCTCTCACTTCTCTCTAGATATACTCTATCATATATATATATATATATATATATATATATATATATATATATATATATATATATATATATATATATATACACACACACACACACAGGGAGCGGTTCCGGTAAGAACGGACTCCCAGGAGAGAAATAAGAACGAATCTGGACCGTTGGATTGTATTATGTGGAATGGAAATGTGCATTTGATGAAACTGAAATGTGTATTAGATGATAGTGAAATGTGCAGAATAAAAATTTAAACTCAATTGTGCATTAAATGAAACTGAAATGTGCGAAATAAAATGTACAAAAATAACATCACATCGTACCTTTTATCCTGCATATTTCAGTTTTACCTAGTGCACATTTCAATTTCACCTAATGCACAATTCAGCTTCACATAATGACATTGTAACGTACGCTTTGTGTTGGACATTTCAATTTCATCTAATGCACATTACAGTTTCATTTAATGCACATTGAATTTCACTTAAAGCAAATCTAACGGTCCAGATTCGTTCTCATTTCTCTCCTAAGATCATGTTCTTATTTGAACCAAAACCTATATATATACACAGTTATAGTTATATTTACAGAGAATGGATCAGCTGAAAAGTCAATTTCAGCTTTAAAAGAATATCAAGGGTCTGCTTTAAAATTAGAAGACATGATGGAACCTCAAATTCGTCTATACAACTTCTCGCGCTACAGAGCATCTTCAAACTGCAAACACTTTACGATGATCAATCGTCCAACTACGAAGATCGCAATACCTCCAATGAAGTGTAACCGTACAACGACGAACGTCGGCCTAATCAGGAAGGCCTGCGACGCTAGCTTATTTCTCGATATAGAATGGGGTATGTCTCCAAGTATCTCTACTCGATTTTATGATTTCTCAACCTGATTTAATCAATTAGTTTGTTTAATCATCATACCACGACTAGTAACAGGTTAAATCGATGCTCCTTCTACAAACCAGATCTAAAAAGTGAAGATAGGGTTTAAACCTAGTTTCTTGCACTTTTAGTGAAGATAGGGTTTAAACCTAGTTTCTTGCACTTTTAGGTTTAGTTTTACTTCACATCAGATTTATTGCTAACAAATCCTTTGAATTCGAAAGTCAATCATCTCAAACTCACTAAAATTAGGTCTACTATTGTATTTTCATTGAAATTTGATCACATTTAGGCTTTATTTTCACAGTTTCTGTACTTAATTTTAGATTTAAAGCCAAAGTTGTGATAAAACGTCAAGAGTTTGTCCAGCACATGTTGGAGTTTTCTTTTCTAACTTCTTACTCTCAGCACTGGTTTATAATCTTAAAATAGCTGCTAGCTAGTATGCTTTCAAGATATAGAATTGATGTGTGATTGTGTACGTGTGAACTGCCATCAAACTACAGGCTGAGGCTAATGAATCAAATTTTGCTTCAATCAAGTCAGGGAAACGGCTTAGTTCCATCTCTACTACTGGTGGAGCATCTCGATCTAGTGTCTCAACAAAGCTGCCTAAAGAGGTTAGTGATTGTTGAGTATCCTACATCAGTTGCACATTGAGCTTGATTCTTCCTATGCTGAAATAACTTTGAACTTTAACAGAGAATTTTGATTCTGATTATTTTTGTTATCTATAAGCAATCAATATATTTGTACTGTGATTGTTTTGAACATAGAATAGATAATGATAGTGCTGAACTACCCAATTGTTTTATGATATGGTTTTCAATAACACCGGTCTCACTATTTCATACATATCACTGCACGAATTAAGAGTCATGGATTTAGTTTAAAAAGTTCATCTTAGTTAATTATAAGTTATAAGGTAAAAGTGCATCCCTGCCATTACTTCATAATTTTTTAGGCATTCTATCTACATACAACATAACTCAAATAGATTTTTTTTAGTCTAATTCATAGAAGAGGATCATTCTTGCTATATTTGCAGGTTACTATTTGACATTTTAAGAAATGATGTTTTAGAATTAGCATCTTCTCAAACATCAGTTGTTTTTGATGCCATTAGTATGGTAAAAAATTATGCATAGAGGTTACCGTTTTTTAGTAAAAGGTACATTTTTATACTAAATTTCAAATAATCTGAAGTATAAGTTTGTCACGCCCCAGACCGCAATCTAAGCGCGTGTACACCCGCCGTATAATCGAGTGACGTCACCCGCAGGTCAACCTCACTTAATCATACAAGGCATTTGAGAAAAAAATCCATCCATACTCAGTAGTAAACATACACAACAACATCACAATTAAACCATTGAATAACGGAAATATTCAGCAGTAATTCGTAGGCCACATTCGGCCAATAACAAATAAAAATATCCATGAGCAATGTTTTAGTAATTTGAAGGAACATGAGGAAGCACGAAGCACTTCTTCATTGAATTTGATATCACCCGTAGAAAGGTGCAGGTACCAAGCCCTAGCTTCAACCTGAAAATGGTGGGCCCCCTCGAAGGAGTCAGTACAAGTACCGAGCGAGTAGCAGGCTAAATATAGAATAACTAGCGTTTCAAGTATAAGACCCAAACATAGGGTGATACTTATATAAATAGTCTTTTCCCCCAAGTTAAGAAATACTTAATAGTACATATACACTTGGAAAATACCCGATCCATAGATCACCGTTTTATTTGGGAAAATAGTAATAGTCAATATTGTTGACTTAAAACCCCATCCCACCCATATACTTATGAGTGTATATGATTCCTCCTTATCTTTATTTCAATTTCATAATCTATGAGTTTTGAGGATAATATAATCCTTGGGTACTCCACCAATTTATATTTGAGTGTTAAGGACTTTTAGTCCTAGGGTCCTCCACCAAGTTTATAATATGAGTGTTAAGGACTTTTAGTCCTAGGGTCCTCCACCAAGTTTATATTTGAGTGTTAAGGACTTTTAGTCCTAGGGTCCTCCATCAAGTTTATATTTGAGTGTTAAGGACTTTTAGTCCTAGGGTCCTCCACCAAGTTTATATTTGAGTGTTAAGGACTTTTAGTCCTAGGGTCCTCCACCAAGTTTATATTTGAATGTTAAGGACTTTTAGTCCTAGGGTCCTCCACCAAGTTTATATTTGAGTGTTAAGGAATTCTAGTCCTAGGGTCCTCCATCAAGTTTATATTTGAGTGTCAAGGACTTTTAGTCCTAGGGTCCTCCACCAAGTTTATATTTGAGTGTTAAGGACTTTTAGTCCTAGGGTCCTTCACCAAGTTTATATTATATGCTCAACCCCCTATCAACCTAGATAGAGTCTATATCATATTCATAGCTAAATAACCTCATAAAGCTTATGTATTTCAATTCATGCAAGCCATGCGTTTATATCAATTTATTATTAACTAATACCAACCGGTATTAATTAATCCATCATCAATCGGTCAACGTTTTCATTAACCGTCACCTCAAGCCTTATACATATCAACTTAATCATCATATATATTAAGTTAACAACATTCATTCTATACTTCCTCTACCTTTCAAACATAGTATGCAATTTCATAGAAATTCTCATATCATATTCCATGCATATTCATGTAATTCATTTCATACATGCCTAATCATTTTGGCTAATCACATGTTTAAATATCTTTTAAACATCATTAGGAATACATATAACATTCATTTAGGTAATCTCATAATTAACCCAAAAGTTATAAGATATTAAGCCGTCCACTCACCTTAAATGAGCTATAGCGTGTTCTACGCTCTTTGGTTGAACTCCGGCGAAACTCCAGCGAACTTCGGCGAACTCTAGAAACTCTTTAGTTAAGCTCCTTAATCCTTCACACTTTTCCTAACTTTTTCCTTCTTCAAGCTTCCTCTTTTGACCAACTTTGCTTGAGCTCGAATTTCAACAATGGAGAAAGGTTTGAGAGCTTTCTTTTCTTCTTCTTTGATGGCCTTGGTCGAGGTAAGGAGGTAGGGATTGATTGAGAATGCCTTTTTGGCATTTCTCTCAATCATACATGGAAGGGGGTCCACTCCCTTAAATGTGTTTGGCTCCCATATCATCTCATGGCTTATTTCCCAAGTGATGGTGCGTCTACCTTGTCCAAATACAAGGCTAAAAACGTGGGTTGACCCCCACTTATGTGGGAGGTCATCCCTTTGTGTCCCCGAACTGTACAATCGGTCCCGAAAGTTGTATTTCTCGGACTGTTTTAATTATATTTTATTTTATCGGGTCAAATAAAATATATTATGTGTTTCCCATCATTATGGATTTTTAGAATGAATATACATTCCTCCACTTTAATTTAGAAGTCTTTGAAATCCGTTTCGGGCTGTTATATGATAAATTACCAATATCGGTAATTGGGCCTCGTTTGATCGACGGGTCAATCCTATGCCCTCTCTATGGCCCGACTAAAATATCTACCACCATATACATATTATCTAGACCTAGATGAATATAATATGTGGTCCCGGAATTATCGGGTGGTCCCGCTCCCGATGTGGGCCCCACGTGCAATTTACTATTCACGCAAAAGAATTAACAAAATTTACAACCTCGTAAATTCAAAATTCGTTATTCAAGGTTTATTACATGATTTGTTAAAAGTAAATATACTTGGGGACGGTGTTACAAAGTTTCTACTTAATGGACATGAGGAGGACCCTGATTCATAGCTACACAAGTTGTGTATTGATTTTGAGGTTTTCAGATGATTAAGCTATAAGTTATGAATTTCTTATTAGAAGTTATGGTTCTAGCTATAGTAGTGTGTTGCAATATTTTCTTTTTACCTTGTAACTTTACCGGCGAGGACATCTTATGTGCAAGTCCAAACACTCTAGATTTAATTGATTTTTTTAATTCTCTTATGTGTCATTGTTTGTTCTATTTTGAAAGTTTCAATTTTTTCGAAATAAGTTATAAACTTTCACTTAGTAGTTAGACATTTCATATTAGAAGTTATGAAGTAATATATAGTGATAGTTTCATTAACTAGTAATAATAGAAATTAATACGGAGTATTAGTAGTAGTGATAGTTTTAGAAGTCTTTGTTTTTTCCATAAATATATTCTCTTACTGATTTTGATTTCTTGAATTAATGTGAGTTAAAAGTTACGAATTGAGATTTAGAAGTTATGTTTCTAGCTTTGTTAGTGATAAAACTTGTTATACTTTTCTTCATTGTAGAAGATCGATGACATAATTGGCAATGGTTTTGGCAATGAAATGATTTCAGATGATATTGAGGTGGAAGTACAAAAGCCAATTGCCCAAACAAAAAATACTTGACAGGACAACAACATTGAAGCAAAGAAGAAAAAAGTGAAAGTGCGGACCAGATTTAAGGAAGTTCTTGTTTGAGACTAAGACTTGGATGTTGTTGTTGTACATATATAAATAATGTTATGTCTTGAAATTCTATTATGCCACGGTTGTTCGTTTTTAAGTATGTATGTCTCACTCCTTATGGTAAAACTTTTGGTCATTTGGTGGTAGGAAGTTTAGTGTTTTTATTTTTTAAATGTTGTTCTGCAAAAAGTTATGAATTTTCACTTATTTGATACAGATTTTAGATTAGAAGTTACAAACTATTAAATATAATAATTAAATATAATAATGACAGTTGTTGTAGTAAGGATACTTATTGAAGTCTCTGTTTTTATTTTTAAAAAACACCTTCTTACCGGGTATGATGTTCTAAGCTCATTTGAGTTAAAGTTATGTACTAGGTTAAAGAAGTTATGATTCTAGCTTTTTTAGTAATAAAATTTTGTTTTACTTGTTATTTTGTTAATCCTCATTGGAGAAGATTATATCGAAGACAACATTGATTGCAATGGTGATGACAATGGAACCATTCACGATTTTGATATAGTGTGGAAGTGAGTTTTGATGCAAAGACATGAAAATGTGTGAGGGAGATGTAGAAACCGGGTACTTAAATTAGATTTGAGGGGGAAATTAGGATAGATATTGAAATGGACATTCATGTTGCCCATGAAATTAATGCCACTACATGCAAGTAATGGGATTGCAATAACATGGAATTGATGACACTTTCATGTGAAATTATAGCATATTGCTCTGTATCAATTGAGCTAATGATATGAGTAATTTGTGAAAAATTAAAGTAAAGCCTCAAGATTAGTAGTTTAGGGATAAAATAGCTCAAACAATGAATCCAAATAAGGCCAAACATGTTATAGAAATCATGGTATAGCCTTTTTCTATCAATTGGTGCATGCACCTCACCCGTTAAGTGCTGAGATATTAAATTGTTCCTTGAAATTTTAAATACTTAATTCAAATTCATTCAACAATTGCTTCTACAACCGAGTTCTTATGAAATGCTCAATACTAATAAAGAATCAAGAAAATAAATAAAGCAGTCAGTGGGTTGTGTAGCTCCGGACTCCATGCCAACAAGAACTTCATGAGAGTGTCACATGCAATTCCTCTCCAACTATAGAAAATATTTCATCAATCCTCAATTGAGATGGGAGACATCTAAGCTAATCTGACAGTTCAAAGGAGTTAATCGGACGGCAGTAATCACTTCTCACTTTTCAGCCTAATTAGCACTTCTCATGGGATCTTCTCTCTCTCTCTCTATACACACACATACACACACACACACACACACACATATATATATATATATGAAAATTCATAATTTCTTATAATATTCCATATAACACCGATATTACATATATAAAACTTAAAAAATGAACTTCCAAGTTCCAACTACTAGAGGTGTTTAGACAAAAAAACACATAAGACAATTATTTAAATCCATGTTACCTCCACAAATAATCGAACTCAATTTGAACTCTTTTTTATTTTTTATTAACTGGAAAAACTAAAACTCATAAGGAAATTTTTATTTTTTAACATATAAATGCTTTTTTTTTTCAAAATTATTCATAAAAAAGTCATAGATTTTTTATAATAATTTTATTAATGTTTTACTAAATTATTATGTAAGAAATATGTTTGATGAATTAAATTGAAGAGAATGAAGGTGCAATTGTATTGACATGTCTATACACTATTATAATATAGACGAAGTTCATATTTATTTTTTTTGAAGGTGCAGGGATGCAAATAGTTCAAAGCATGAGATAAATATGTGAATAGGAGTAAAACATTACAAATTTTATCAATAAGACTTACATTATTTTCTTTTCCAAAATATGACTTAGTAAATCCTATTTAGGCAAATTTTATTCTTTTAATAATACTGAATAAGTTCTATTTTAAAAATGAAACTCATATTTTGAGCAATTCCTACTAATGCATACTGCTCTTTCGGGTCATTCCCTCCCAGCTTAACTAAGGTTGTCATTTGTGATTGAATCAAAGAAAACACGAAAAAAGTTGTTTGTGATTTCTAATTAATAATTGTAGGCGTACTTTGTTTGGAAAAAGGGTTGAGGTATAATAAGGAAGTCTTTTTGTTCGTATGTTAATTGCTTCAATCCTTAAAATAATAAACCTCACTTGAGTCTTGAGGTGACACGTCCACTTCAATTTAGGATCTTTGAGCACCGGGTTCTTTTTGAAACGTTTCCGAACTACTGTTTTCATTGAAAAGAATACGGACACCATCCATTCATTTGCAAGGAACTAGCAGCAAAAGAAAAGGCTGGAACCGGCGAACCAGAAAAAATTGAAGCTATAATAATAGCTAAGGAACCCACAACGAAGGCTACTGAGGCTACGAAGCCCATTGTTGCGCAGGAGAATGTGGACCCGGAAGGGGAATTTGTGGAAGTACATAGGCAGAAGGGAAAGAAGACTGCAAAGCCGGTGATACCTCCAGAAATCAAGTCTACTGCTGCTGCGTTTGAACTAATGAAAGTAATTGCAGCTGCGTTTGAACCTGTTGAAGCTACTGCTTTAGATACTACTGCTCTGTTTAAAGCCACTGCTTTGGAAGTTACTGCTACGTTACAGCCAAGTAATCTCGTTGAACCTGCTGCTGCGGAAGCTGCTGGGATGATTACTCCAGCACAGATCGACGTTAGGGAGGTTGGAATATAATGGAAGCCGCTTCGCCGGAACCTACTATTATGGCGTCGGAACCTGCTGCTGGGTCGGTAGATGCGCCGGAACCTGCTGCACCAAACCATAATGGCAACAACACCACAAATAATAAAAAGAGAAGAAGTAAAAGAATATCGGGTGAGACAGATGAGAAATATAAAAGACGGCTTGGAAGACCGATTGGAATTAAGGTAAAATGATACTTCATTTTAGTTAGTTTGGAATGGTGATTTTGTGATGTGAGGGTTGTCCCATCTCTAAATGAGTTATTTTATCCAGGTTAGTCTTTTCTAGCTTAGATAACCTTTGAGGTCTCTTTTTGATGCATTGTAAAATGTTACTTTTTGATTAGTCTCAACTTTGGCCACTTTTCATGATTTGCTTGACCATGTATACATAGATGAGTAATGATTCTACTTATAAAAAGAAAAAAAATGACATTTTCACCTTCTCAACATATGAGGACATTCATCCCTGTCCAAAAAAATTATACTAAAAACATGTTCATTGTTCCATAGGGTGGGATTAATATTGTCACACCCGTAAACCAATCTCAATTAAATCCCAGAATCTTCCCCCCTGCTAAGTATCTTCCCGATATCCAACGGATCAGCACACTGTCGCACGGTTGCTCTGATACCATTTGTAACACCCCGGCCCCGTAGGCCCCGAGGTAGTTACTTCTGACCTCTAGTACTGTCCTCACAAACCGCCACTAGCCTTTTCCGCGCACTTTGTCCTCACTCGTGCGCGCCCTGAAAAACTTCCCTGGGGTCACCCATCCCAAGACTACTCCCGTGCAAGCACGCTTAACTTTAGAGTTCTTGGCTAATGAGCTCACTTAAAAGGAGATGCATCTTGTTGGTATGAGTAGTACTATTAATCCATTTAAATTAAATCTCAAGTGTTACACGTAGGCAATCACCCTCCCATTCTGCATCAATACACACCCAATCCCTTGGATGCTCGCATCGCTATAGACATCATACCCCATACCTTGTTTTGGTAAGGCGAGTACCGATGCCTCAGTTAACCTCTTCTTCAGTTCTAAGAATCTCTTCTCACATTGGTCATCCCATACGAACTTAGCCCCTTTTCGAGTGAGCTTCGTCAATGGTGATGCCAAAACTGAGAACTTCTCCATGAATTTTCTATAGTATCCCGCTAGTCCAAGGAAACTACGAATCTCCTTCACGTTATTAGGTCTTTCCCATTCTGTGATGGTCTCAATCTTTTTGTTGTCCACAGCAATGCCTGATTCAGAAACCACGTGCCCAAGAAAGCCGGTTTCCTTAAGTCAAAACTCACACTTAGAGAATTTGGCATAGAGCTGTTTCTCTCGTAGTGTTTCAAGAACCAGAACCAAGCGTCTCTCGTGCTCCTCTTCATTCCTTGAGTAAATCAAGATGTCAAAGATTGTGAAACGGAGGGAGTATATGAAAATGTTTCCCTAAATAGAAGTGAACTCAATTTTGAGCGACTCTATTTAAAATGTTAATTTGAGACCCATGTTATAAATAACTTATAAATAGATATAGTACAATTATACACATTTTAATTTAAAAATCTAAAATAAAAATTAACATTAAATATTAATGATAACAATGTTTCTAACAAGTTGATGCATTAATATTAGAAGATGAAAATGTGAACAACGGGTTTTTTTGTGCATAGTTTTAGGACAATAACAACGTGTTTTTAATTTTAATAATAAATAAGCAATTGCTTAATATAATAAAAATCAACAAGTTATTATTGTTGCGAGGTGAACCGTTGCTGAATTATAATAATAATAATAATAATAATAATAATAATAATAATAATAATAATAGTGAATTTAGACACATAACAATGACATTTTCAATCTTCCAAATACCCCGAGTTTTAAATGGATCCCTCGCTCTGAAGCGTAGGGTTTGTACTTTTGCCGCGCAAGCGTGCGCCAACTCTGGCTGGATTTCCAGCACCTTTCAAGTGTTGGAATCAATTCTTCGGCTATAGGATCTGGATATAGCGTGCGATGGGTAAGAGTTTTGAGTTGGTGGATGTCGAATATCTCATGGCCGACGCAGGGGGCAATGTGTCGTTGGAGCTTCGACGTGCGACGAAGTGGGAGGTTTTGCATACGGAAGAGGACGAAGGTTGCTAAAAGCATGCAATTGACAAACTGGTGAAAAATAATCAAGGTCTGGTCTTATAGGAAAGGAATGAGGCCTTATTGTCGGTTTAGATGAAGAGGTTGAAGAAGCAGAGGCGACCAGACCCACTTTCAAAGGGGTTAGAAGGCTAGTTACCGACAAAACGGTAAAATTTCATTTCTTCAGATATTTCATGGCATCAATTTGGCGTCCAACTAAAGAGGTCTCAAATAAGGAGATTGGCGAAAAAGACATCTCTTTACTTTTTTCATGTGATTGATATGAATCATGTTCTTGAGAATGACTCATTACTGTTTAAGCAAAATTTATGAGAATTGCATGCTTTGAAGGCAAGTGAATTACCTATGATGGTTCCTATAAATGAGGTAGTTTTTTGGGTTCAAATTCATAATGTACCTATGAGTTACTTTACTATGAAAGTTGCAAAAAGAC